ATGGGCTATATAGATCACCAAAAACCAAAGGTAGGTCACCATACTAGGTACCATGGGGACTTACGGTACTTCTGCTACCTACACGGCACTCCAGCAGGATTTACACCATCCCTCTGGCCACTGGTGATTGTAAGTTTTAGCCAAATCATTAAAAAACAACAAGAATTCTACGATTAAAATCATGGAATTTAATGAAAAATACTTTGAATGAAGTGGGACTTACATACCCTCTCAGGGGAACAATTAGTTTACGTTACTTCAACCCCCTTTGAAGGTACAGCCACTAACAATCACAGTTATATAATCATTTTACCAAATTAAAATCACATATTACAATTGGGATCAATGACATGCATCAACCGAGTCAGCGAGCCTGACCACCCGATCCCGTTAGTCGCCTCTTACGACAAGCATTGTCGCCTTTTACGGCAAGCATGGGTTACAACAGGAAGAATATGTCAGATCGTATCTAAAGGTCTAATTGCCATAATTCATGTCATATGGATTATGCATGAACATATTGATTGGGCCAGGAATTGTGATATGATACCTAGACAAACAAATGTTGCCTGTCTTAGATATTTATGTTGTATATAATGATATAACTGACTTAGATTTCTACTGGCATTGGGGAAATATTTCTGCAAAATACTGATTACATTTACTTGTTTTATGTTTCATGAATAAACTATGTTCTTCATTTCTTTAATTATAGATTGCGAGTTTGATTCCTCCTTGTCAGATTGAAGGAAATGATTAAGGAGGTAAATATTTTCACGTCATTCCACTTTACAGTGCTGATTTAAGAATAGTGACTGTTGTTCACTAATCAGATACATAATGTTTTTCTTATTTTCATGACATAGTCACCTCATTGATATGCTCTTAGTTATTCCGAGCAAATTTACACAAGTCACCATTCATGTGTTGAACCATTTACATTTCAAGTTGATGGGTCTTTTTTTGATGAGTGAGTGAGTTAAAGCTTTACGTCACATCGGCAATATTTCAGCCATATCGTGACGAGAACATTTAATATACTGACATGAGAATAACACACCTGTCATCGACGGACAGTAGAACAACTAGCATATCACAGTTTATAAGTAAAACTAGTTTAGAACAATTAAAAGAATAACCTATTATTCAACAATACATTATAAAAATCGGGCTAGAGATCGCCAGGTTTTGGAGGCTGATCCTGATGTGAGCACAGCAGCAATGGCTACATCTTCATTGCCCGGTGACTTAATGGTTGGCATTAATTAAAAATAATACACAAAGATCAATTATTGGAATGCTGGTGACCTAAATGAGTTGAGATAAAGTGTAAGAATAATAACTATTGCAAACATAAAAAGTTCATCAATAGACATATTTTAGTTATTTGGTCTCATCAAAACATACTGAACTCAGATTTTCACAGTAACAGACTTTCTGAAAAATATATATAGATCAAACAAACTTCAAACAAAGCTATTTGTTTGATGATATGCGAAATACTGATGTGGACAGGTCATAAAACACGTGTACATGTGAACAGCTTCACAAAGGCGCAAATTGCTTTTATATTTTGGTGGGAGATACAAATGGTATCCACACAAATAGAGTTACTTGATGATGAGCTCCTTATTTGTCTTTTTCCATAGATACAGTAACCTTCAACTCAACGGGAGAAGCAATGTGTATGCAGTGACATGCACTACACTTGAGATGAAAGATATTATCTTCTTAAAGTAAATCACAATATATTATAATATAATACATGTATAATGATTAATACCTTGGCATCAACACAGTCATTGTACTCCAATATCAGAGAATTGTGGTACATTTGTCAGTTTTGAACAATGCACTGCACGAAACTTATTATAAATGTGCTCAAACATTTATGTTTTCGGATATCACAAATAGAAAATCACAAGGTAAACCAGGTAAAGATGTATGCACCATTTAGTCACACATGTATTTACCGGTATATCAATATGTGAACAGAACAAAGTTGAACATTATAAGTGCAATCAGTGACTTCAGAAGCTCGAATCTCGTAACATTCTGTTCAGTATAGAAACATCAGGTAATGATTATCCATAGAACACAATACATTACTGATAATGATGCTCTGGGTCAAGTTGGGTCGAGTAGATTCAAAGGTGTTTGGCACTTGGCACTGTAAGTCACGTCGAAATTGATTAATGCTTTTCTTGATAATGAATGTAGGAATTTATCCAGGATTCCAATTAAGTGCCCTTAGAAGTCACATTGAATGCAATAATGTAAAAAAAAGACATTAAAATATCTTCCTCTTCATCGGACCTGTTATCAGGGTTAAGTCAAGTTATGACTTTGTTAACATTATGGAGGATCTGTTTTATTTAAAGGTAATATTTTAATTTTACATTTGCTGCATGATTGTGGCTGAATATCAACCTGTGATGATTTTTAGATAAATCCCTAAAATACACATTGACTGCAATATTGATTTAGACAATGTTTTATTACAGGAGCAGATCCAGTTTCTGAAACAATACGGCAATTAACAGCTGTGCAGAGCCAAATTCTCTTGACTGAGAACAGAAGACTGGAAATTGAGGAGGAGAAGCTTATCAGGGAATTTGTTTCTCTACTTAATGGCCAAAATGTATCCCCGATAATAAAAATTGTTTGATCATGACAAAATCTGTGTAATATGTATTTTTTTAATAATATGAAATCTTCTAAAGATATAACTGTATAGTAATACAGAATAGAAAGTAACTTACATCTCATGATTAATACTCTTGTGCTTACAAATAAATGATGAAAACAATAGCATAAGGCTGTAATTTAAGTGAACTTATGCAAAATTAATTTATGTCTTGCCGACAGTCCATCACAACCAGTGCTTGTTGCTGGAAAGTCAGCTGGGCGTGGCAACTCTGTAGCAGTTCCCTCTCCTCTGAGTAGCTCAACGCCCTGGGGAAGTGGTAGTCTTTCATTGATGCACATGTTATGCAACAAGAAGCAACACACAAACTCCTTTCTGGGGTGAATAGTAAGACACCAGTTGTCTTGTGAAGGCATCTGAAAATTTGATGAAACACATTTTCTGTATTATAAGTTATTTTCCCCACTTCTTCACAGACCCCAGTTAGACAGGTTGTGAGTTTGTTCAAAATCAAATTGATAATGTTTTTTAACAATTTTCTTTTTTCAGTTGGGCAGTTTTGGTAATACTACACCGACTAAAAAAGCTCAATTTGAGATTAGAAGTAACTTCTTTTTATTTTTTTCAAGTGAGCATCAATGATACCATGAATAGATAATATTAAATGTTTTTCCTCTTATAACTCTACCTTCATTATTTTCCTAGCCCTAATATTACCAAAAATAACTATTTCATTTACAATAATTTCTTGGTTACATACCCAACTTACTGTTGCCAATTAAAACCGTACCTAAATCTTGACTTGCACAAGCCAAATGGTCCCGTGAAGGTCCGGAATAGAATAGGTCTTCAGCAACCCATGCTTGCCGTAAAAGGCGACTATGCTTGTCGTAAGAGGCTACTAACGGGATCGAGTGGTCAGGCTCGCTGACTTGGTTGATGCATGTCATTGATCCCAATTGCATGGATCGATGCTCATGATGTCAATCACTGGATTGTCTGGTCCAGACTCGATTATTTACAGACCGCCGTCATATTGCTGAGTGCGGCGTAAAACAACAAACTTCACAGACCCCTGTTAGACAGGTTGTGAGTTTGTTCAAAATTGACTTGATAATGTCTTTTAACAAACAAAAATTTTCAGTTGGGCAGTTTTGGTAATAATAAACCGACTAAAAAAGCTCAATTTGAGATAAGAAGTAGATAATCTAACTCCTTTTTATTGTTTTCAAGTGAGCAACAATGATACCATGAATAGATAATATTAAATATTTTCCTCTTGTAAGTGTACCTTCAGTATTTTCCTTGCCCTAATATTACCAAAAATAACTATTTCATTTACATTTTGGTTTGGTTTGGTTTGGTTTGATGTTTAACGCTGCACTCAGCAATATTCCAGCTGTATGACGGCGGTCTGTAAATAATCGAGTCTGTACCAGACAATCCAGTGATTAATATCATGAGCATCGATCCACGCAATTGGGATCGATGACATGCATCAACCAAGTCAGCGAGACTGACCACCCGATCCCGTTAGTCGCCTTTTACGACAAGCATAGTCGCCTTTAACGGCAAGCATGGGTTGCTGAAGACCTATTCTAACCCGGAATCTTCACGGCTAACACCAACTTACTGTTGCCACTTAAAACCGTTACTAAATCTTGACTTGCACAAGCCAAATGCTCTTTCTATGCTTTCTTGATATGCATGACATCTATTTCTCCTGTCCTTCCGAGCTGGGATTGAGCACAGGGGTCAGCAGCCATGGTCTGCAGGCATATCTGTAACATAAGTTATAAGGATAACACTACATCCAGACAGGCCATCAAAATGTTATCAATATTATATTAAGTACTGTTTTGTGAGATTTGTTGATCACACATAGTAAAATTCAACAGTATTTACCAAATATAAATGAAGTTCAGGTATATATTTTGTAGCTGTAGCCATCCATCTGTATTCTTCTTTTCAACGTACTGACCAAGGGCAGAGTTATTCCAAATGTAACTGTCATGGACAGAGCCAGGCCACTTGAACACACAGTTTGTAAATCTGAGAGAAAAATATACCAATTTATATCAATATATGTACAACAATAATCCAATACTGAAAATGCATATGTCTATCGATATTTGATGGTTATGGTTATTGATTGTTTGTTGTTTCACTGGATTGTCTGGTCCAGACTCAATTATTTACAGACGGCCGTCATATTCCTGGAATATTGCTGTGTGCGGCGTTAAATAACAAACCAACAAACAAACGTTCCCTTCAATTAAGATGATACTTTAGTGTTACTGAAGTGGCATAAAAAAGAAAAACTCCTCATTTAGATTTTTAAACTGTGTTTCAGAAAGAAAGGATTGCGCGGACATTTTGGCCCAGGATCCGTCATCTGCCGATGGCATCTACGTTGTAAACCCTAATGATGGCCAGGGACCGATCCGGGTGTACTGTGACATGACCACTGATGGTGGTGGGTGGACGGTCAGTAAACAAAGATAACTGAAAGTAGAAAGTCTATGCAAAGATGTTAGTGCAAATACATATGCGGAACTAGAGGGGGATGCAAACGTGTGCATCCCCTGCAGGGAAAGCTTACGCTTTTCGCAGACACCTTAACTGTGGCATCACTGATTTTCAGTGATACATTCGTACAAATTTCACCTCAATCACTGGATTGTCTGGTCCAGACTCGATTATTTACAGAACGCCGTCATTTAGCTGGAATACTGCTGGGTGCGGCGTTAATCAACAAACCAATCCATTTTGCCTTTTACACTAAGAATATCCGATTCGACGATTATTTACCGACCACGTAGCTTGAATATTAAACAACAAACAAAATAAGATCTTAAGATCTACACATGCGTTCACACAATATATCCTGCTTTAGGGGTGGATGACGTGAAATGGGTGTTAAGTGTTCGCGTTCAGAATTATTTAATTATATCAACGTGTGGCTGCTTGTACTAGACGAGCTTTATATTGCTAGCCCGCTGAGAAGCCATACCGCTGTTATTAATGATTGTTTTTTGGTGTCCACACAATTAATTGGGATCGATGACATGCATGAACCAAGTCAGCGAGCCTGACCACCCGATCCCGTTTGTGGCCTCTTACGACAAGCATAACCTTTCACAGCAAGCATTGGTTGTAATGAACACGGGTATATTGCTGACAAACCTAGAATCATAATCGGGACGAACCTGGACTCTACCCCAAAACATAAGTTTCTGGCATACCCAAGGGACGCCACTCTGCACAGCAAATTGTGGCACCTTGACACGACTGGCCAAACCATGCATGTAAAACGTAACAGATTTCTGTAATGTTTTTCACCCACTTGTGATTATCCATACTTTTGTGTGTATCCAGGTGTTCCAGAGAAGGATAGATGGTTCAGTTGACTTTTACCAGAACTGGGCGACCTACAAGTCTGGGTTCGGATCTCCTGGAAGCGAGTTTTGGATTGGTAAGATGATGCTATTGGTGTACTGACATATGAGATAGTTCTGGATACAACTTTAAAATTACACTATCATAAAAAGATCCAAATCAATACTTACAATGTCAAATTCTGGGTTTGAAGGTTGGTTTGTTGTTTTATGCCGCACTCAGCAGTATTTCAGCTCTATGACGGTGGTCTGTAAAATAAATCGAGTCTGGACCAGACAATCCAGTGATCCACGCAATTGGGATCGATGACATGCATCAATAAAGTCAGCGAGCCTGACCACGCGATCCCGTTAGTCGCCTTTTAGGACAAGCATAGTCGCCTTTAACGGCAAGCATGGGTTGCTGAATACCTATTCTACCCCGGATTTCCGAAGTCAGGAGGGGCTCCATTGGGATTCAAGGGCTGGTTAGGCCCAATGGAATTGCTTGTAAGATCCATCTGAATGTTTTGATCAGAAAGAGGACCCAGCTGTATGAAACTCCCAAAACGTAATGGTACATTCAACTCTAGTCATGTTTCATAGTTAATGGCAGTGTTAAAATGGTAAGTAGGGCACTCACCTACAGTTTTCCCACATTTCCATATTGACAAACCATCATTTTCTTCTTCCTGGCATCAGTATTAAAATTCAGAAATACCATTCATTGCAGATTTAAAAGTGAGTGAGTATGGCTTTACGCCGCTTTTAGCAATATTACAGCAATATTGTACCCATGTCGGGAATCGAACCCGGGTTGTCGGCGTGACGAGCGAACGCTTTAACCACGAGGCTACCCGACCGCCCACAGATTTAATAGATATTATATAGGGTATTCCTTAGCACAAATATATACAGCAGCGTTGTTTCTGATCATTTAGACCCCTTAGTCTTGAACTGAGCGTTATAGAACACTCTGGGATAGGTGAGAGAGTTTAACCGCATGCTCGTTCGAGAATATCACCGCTTCGACCCATCCTAGTGAACAAAACGAAGAAATACAAATCCAAACTATCGTAGTATCGACTCCATCCGTGTCTACAGTGACAGTGTCATTCTTCAGCAACCTGACAATTTACCTTATTATCTTTATGACGCATCTTTATAATCCCCTTTCAATTATCGGCCAATTGATCAATGATGTAACCGCCACAGGTTCATTTACAACTTCGGAAATCTCTCCCGTCAAGTTTATGGTGTCGGCCATTTTGACGTCTTGTACTTGATGTAAACGTATTACGACGCGCTGTCATTCTGACTGATTTACTGAGGTAGTTCTTAACACATCTTTCTCACCCAACGATGATGTTGTTTGAGTACATTTGTTGTAAACAAACTACACTAGATATTCCTGTTGTGCAAGTTGAGTATACACACGCTCACATCACCTCTCTTTTTCGGCGATACAGCTGGTTGTTGCATGGCTGCCAGTGTAAACATGAAATACTAAATAAAATTGTCTTTAGATCTGGACCTACCATCCTTCGAGGTAAGAATGGTGATGTAAAAATCATAAGAATTGACTTTCAATTCTTAAATATCAAATCTGTTAAACACATTTCTAGTCCATGTAGCGAGCCTGACCACCCGATCCCGTTAGTGGCCTTTTACGACAAGCATAGTCGCCTTTTACCGCAAGCATGGGTTGCTGAAGACCTATTCTACCCCGGATCTTTACGGGTCGAAGGCGAGTGGTATAAAACCTAACGTGGGGCGCGAGCCACGAGCCGGCGGAGAGTGATTTATAACCAACCTGTCGAGGGACACATAAAACCCCATGTACCCCGAGTGATCCTGCTACAACGAACTTATCTTACCGACATTTTAATATGTCATTGTAAAAGAGTTAACACAAATTCGAAATTGATAGAAAACAGCTGTTCGATTGAGCATAGGTTACATTGTGCTGTCACGCGACTTTCAGTGCCTCGAAAAAAGTGTGCCGCTTTTTGCTTTGAAGCAGGCTATAAGGGATTTATTCTGCCTCTCAGAAGTCCACGTTCCGCCTGTCTTGCTCGTGGCGGGGTATAAGGTATTCTTCCCGCTGAGAAATATATTTCCCTCCAAGGAGTATTTAATCAAGATCACGTGGACCAATCAGATATCATTCTGACATGGAGGTATGATAAGACTATATTTAACATTATGTTCAAAATTATTAAGTTGCGTAATATGCAAAGTGTTTCTGCCACACATCTGAACTATATCATTTCTATATGTGATACAATTATCAGTTAATCGACATATTGAGGGAATGAATATTACCATGGTTACATGTGGGTGTCATACACAAACGTTAAAGATTCAATAAAGTTCTTCTCATTCATGGCTCACTGCCAATTACCCAAGGTCGGACTAGTCCGTGGAAGTTACTTTCAGAACCTGAATACATTTATTCCGCGACCGGCTCTATAAACGGTGAAGTACATTGATCTGCTGAAAAGACACTTTTAAAACCGTCACATGTTTAATATTGTTTTTTTATATATGTTATACACATAAAGATGTCTAAACACACAAAAACGAAACTAATTACCTGGAGATGCAATATAACATATTGAATATACTCTTAACTGCTACTACGCAGGATACTTGGTAAATGATTTATCTGCATTGCGGGAGCGACCCCACCTTATGTAATTGATACAAAGACCAGGTTCTTCGATACAAAATTTATACCATTTTATTTTTGTCTTTTCTTATGTTTTTACCCATTGAAAACATTCTTTATCATCCAAAACTGGCTCCCACAGGAGATATTGCTTGGATGAGATCAAGCGATATCTACACTGTAGATATCGCTGCAATGAAATTACATCACAATGCTTTGCAGACCATTGTGACATCACTGGTTACCATGACGTCACAATCAAATGACATCACTAATGGCTCTGCTACTGAAGCTGTTTGCAGTACTTTTTACACTGAAGACACTGCTAATTACTGTCTACAAATTAAAAAAGTTGAAAGAATGATGTTGGATGATAAATAAAATCTCACCCTCGTGTCTTTTGATATCAAATATATCAACACTCGTTGATAAAAGTGGCAAAAATCCTCGGCAAGCCTCGGAATGTTTCCACTTTTATCAACTCGTGTTGATATATTTGATATCAAAAGACACTCGGGTGAGATTCTCTATTTAACGTTGTTATACTGAGTTTCCAGTGCCAAAGTAGTTTTATTCAGTTTTGCATTTAATGATTCTATGGTATCTATTTTTATACGAGACATTTGGATTCGAATTTCTGATACAGAAATTATTGGTGTGTACTTACGACTAATCTTTTTAAGTGTCGTTTTTGTTATCCCGGCGACACTTTCTGAAGGTGTCGGTGGATTCGTTAAAAACATTGAAGATATGAATTCGAAAGAATTATAATCAGGAAATATGTATGCTCCCCTCTTTCAATGTCTTCCTTTTATGGACTGTAAAATAAGTTTAATTGGTTTTGATGTTGATTTTATGACACCCCAATAGCAGGCAACTACGAGCTTTGTATTCTCAGAAATAAACTCAACGTGGTTTAAACGATCTTTGCTTCCACATGTGTGTAAACAAACGTTAGTTGGAGAGGATCGGTAAACGGGCAACACCTGGCCTATGTCGCAAAACATGTATTACTATCACAAAGGTTGCGTGCATTACATTATCACAATGTACAACCTTCAAACAAGATGTATATATCAATAGAGGAATCGATTTGACACCAGTATGCACACTAACGTGACAAAGTGACTGTGCTTCATCTACAGTTTAAAAATATATTTATTCTGAAATTAAATAATGCATCTTGGACCTCACAAGAATGTGTTGTGAAAGGTCGCGGTTATCGACTTCTTGACTTTTGTAAACGATGGAAGGAGAATATGCAATGGTCGGCTTTTTTTATTCTCCCACTGTGAATAACTTTTGTTTTAGCAACTTAAACCTAACAGCCAAATTTATTTTAGAATCAGAAAAACACATTTTTCATTTCAAATTATATGTAGCACTATACCAGATGTATTTAGTGACAATTTCCTTGAAGTGAGCAATAATGATCAGGGAATATATAATGCTTTCCAAGACGTTTTGTTTAATTGTGCCAGTATATTTAAGACAAACTTTACCATAAAGCACAATACTCGTGTATCAATAAATTTACGAAGCTGGTTTCAAAAGGACTGCAAGGACGGGTGTCACGGAGCTGTGCTCCAATGATCAGGGATGTCATAAAATAAGAATAAAAGAATAATGAAAACGGCAAAAATGGGTTGCTGCAAACCTATTCTACCCCGGATCTTCACGGGTCTATATAAATTATGGACTTCCAATGTTAAGGGAAAGCTATTTCGTTTGATAAGAAATATGTATCAAAATGTTAAGTCTTGTATCTCATTAAATGATTGGATTGGTTTCGTTTGTTGTTTCACGCCGCACTCACCAATAGTCCAGCTTTATGACGGCGGTCTGTAAATAATCGAGTCTGGACCAGACAATCCAGTAATTAATATCATGATCATCGATCCACGCAATTGGGATCGATGACATGCATCAACCAAGTCAGCGAGCCTGACCACCCGATCCCGTTAGTCGCCTTTTACGGCAAGCATGGGTTGCTGAAGACCTATTCTACCCCGGAATCTTCACGGGTCCTCATTGAATGTAGGCTTTACTAATCATTTTTATTGTATGTTTGGTGTCCGCCATTTCTCTTCTCTTTGTACATAAATATTATTGACTTCATGGGAATGGAAAGCCATAGATGTATAGAGATAGGTATTTTACAAATATTTATGTTACTTTTTGCCGACGACATTTTTGATAGAACAGTAGTAGGTTTGCAGAGGAGGTTGGATAGGTTATCTTAATATTGAAATAAATGGCAGTTAAAGTAAATGTTGAAAAGACGAAAGTAATGGTATTTGGAAAGGCACGTAGACTGAGGAAATATGAAAAAGTTTATTTTGATAGAGACGATTAGACATCGTATCTATATATAAATATTTAGGTATCATTTCGTCATGCTCAGGTTTGTTACCCAGGCTGTTTTCT